TCTTCTAAGCAAGCATATAAAACAAACTATTGGGTGCTGGTTAGAAATAGGATGAATCTTTTTTTTTTTCCTCAAAAAAAAAAAGCAAAACCAAGATCATAGAATCATAGAGAGGCCTGGGCTGAAAAAGATCAAAAAAATAATCTCATTCCAACCCAAGTCTTGGGGGCAGGGACATCTTCTACTCAACGTGTCCAAGCTTCTTTCCAGGCTGTATTTTACAAYAATATTTTCTCAATTCTTTAACATTTCATCCTTTGACTCAATTATCAGACTCTTCCCACATCCAGAGATACCCAAGTTTTAGCTCATTTCCCCTGAATGTGTGAAGCCTTTGTGTATCAGACTAATGCAAAGCAGACATGGTATTGGGAGCACGAAAGGTGATTCATGTTTTGTTTGTGCTGCCTGGGTTTTTATAACAAATGTACACAGTAGCTCTGTCTAAGCAAAATATTGATAGAACAGATAGCTATTGAAAAATGTAATTTCCTTGAAATACAACTYGGTGTTGCCTCCTAAAATTCTATTTTAAACAAAAAAAAAAATACAGATTAAAAAAGGCCAGGCAACACCCAATATTAAAACTGTCCCTCAGTTTTAGAACAGCTTGTTGCAATTTTTTAAATTTTTAACTGAAGTTTAATATTTTTGAAATGGTGTCATAGAATATATGCATAAAATTTGCATCATATATGTGATACAATAACAGAAGAAACACTTGAAATGCACATTCCAATCAAAGAAAGCCATGTTTCCCCATATTTCTGTTAGAACCTGCCAGGSTCCTATTTTGTTCCAAATTAGAAAGAAAGGAATTGTATTTCTGCTCYCTACTTGTCTCTGACTAGTATTTTTTTCTCCTTTAATAGTAGAATTCCTAACTGGAAATCTTTTTTATTTTTTTTTCCTTAAAATATTTTTAATTCAAAAAAAAGAAAAAAAAATTTGGGCTTTTTAGAGCTCTCATAGACAAAGCCAAATTAATGAAGTAAGCAAACACGAGCAAAAGAGCTTCATAGAAAACTGAGCTCTACGTATTCCTTAATTAGCTATTAAGCCAATATTGTAGGAAAAAAAAAAAATCTTATAAAGTACTGTATCTATTGTTGTTTTTTTTTTTTTTTTTTTTAAAAAATAGAAATCATATTAATAAATGACCTCTTTGTTTAAATGTACTGAATTTTGGCCAGTTCTGTTCCATGTATGTTCTCTAGGACCTGATGAGCAAAAATACTCTAATTCAGTTTGCACACACAAAATATTTTGGCTTTTACAAGTTTAAGGTCTCTTGATTTATAGAATGTTGAAAAAATGGGAATGATGAATTAAATCACTTACTCAGATGCATTTTGTCATTTGGACAGAATAAAGACAGTTTTAAAACAGAGGTAGGTTTGTAGATGGTTGAAATTATTACAAATTTGAGGCAGGATGAGAAAAGAATTGCAGGGCAACAGAACAAGAGTGGAAAAGTAGCCAAAGGAAAAGTGAAGTATGTGTGGGATGAGGAACAGAGGGGATGGGGAAGTGGCAGAGGAGCCAGGACCAAGGCAAGAACAAAGCAGAGCAGGGCAGAGGGAAGGAATTCTAGCTTTGAAAGTCTGATTTAGAAATGAGTATCACAGAATGTCCTGAGATGGAGAGGACCAAAAGGATCATCCAGTCCCACCCCTGTCCCTGCCCAGACCCCCCACCAATCCCCCCTGTTCATCCCTGGCAGTGCTGTCCAAAGGCTCCTGGAGCTCTGGCAGCCTCGGGGCCGGGACCATTCCCTGGGGAGCCTGGGCAGTGCCAGCACCCTCTGGGGACAGCAGAACCTTTCC